GGCCCAAGGTCACGCGGCCCGAGACGCAGAAGGCCGGCTCAGGCCTAGTCCTCGCAGGGGAAACTGAGGCACGAGAGGAAGGGCACGCCCAAGGTCACGGCGCTCAGCCGCAGGGCAGGGGCTTCTGCCAGCCTTTGGAGAGGGGCCCCGACCCTTGCGAAGCGCCCAGCTTCACCTCAGTCCCAAGGGCACGGCCGGCTATTCACACCGCAGCTGGGCCGGAGAGGCAGAGCTGTCCCTGTGCGCCTATCCTTTGTATAGGTCTGAGAATTCCCACGAAAAAAGGGTGGTTTAAGGCCACAGGAACCTGTCCCTTGCCACTTGAGCACCCTGGGCAGTGACCCTGGTTTTGTGATGTTAGGGGAGAGGCGGGCAGGTCAAGGCCCTGCTCCCCACTTGCATGAGGAAACTGATGCAGAACTGGTAAGAGGCGGCCGGTAGGAAGAGACGTCCAAGGTTGTGGGCTTTAAGAAAGTGGGGCAGCGCCCCAGGGCGAGAGGGGCGCCACCCTCCCTCATGCTCACTTGGGAGCCCCGCCAGTGCCCAGCCCTGCCCGAGCTCAGCGCCAGCTGGTCCAGCCTCAGTGTGGCTCGGGGACACACCGAGGCTCGGCCTCTGGGGCGGGCAAGGTGTGAGGCGGGTTTTGGCGTCAGGCGACGTGGGGCACAGGTTCAGGCCGCTCTCCGTGGCCTCCGTACCCACCTAGCTCAGCCGAAGGGCGGGTGGGGAGGTGTTGGGGAGGTGGGGGACGGGTGGAGGGGTAGCCCTGTGAAGCCAGGGCCCGGCCCCAGCCTCCACAGCACCTCTGCCCGGCAGGGGGCACCATTCGCTGCTGGCATCAGGGCCAGGAGGGCTGCGGTCGGACGGACTGCGGGCTGGGCCTGTTGGGCAATGGGAGAGCTGCGCTGGGCTGGGCCTGTGGGCAATGGGAGAGCTGCGCTGGGCTGGGCCTGTGGGCAATGGGAGAGCTGCGCTGGGCCATTTCCCATCCTTGTCAGGCTGCGCCCCCCGCCCCGGAGCCTGGGGACCTGCACCCCTCCTCATCACCTATGCCCTGGGTCAGCCCAAGGCAGCTTCAGCCTCGCAGGGGGCCACCTTTGCGGTGCCCTTGGCCAGCCCAGCAGCCAGATGGGCGGGCGGGCAGCTGAGTTGGCAGTGCCAGGCTTCAGTCGCCCTGGGCAGATGTGTGTTCGGGCTGAAGGGGGATCTTTTATGCTCACCCTGGGAAGATGTCAGTCCGGGCAGGCAGCCAGAGCCCCGGGGCTCACAGCGGAGGGGGAGGCGCGGCCTGCAGCCCAGCCTGGGGACCACCGTGCCCAGTAGCAGGAGCCCACAGAAGCAACCTGCCACCCAGGAGCCTGCCTAGCCTGAGTCACGGAGGACTGGAAGTCCAGGGTGGGGGTCCCAGCCCCTCAGAGCCTCAGGGGTCAGCCCCAGTTCCTGAGGACCCCTCTGCCGGCTGCAGGGCTCCTCCAGGGCCAGGCCACGCCGGCCGCCCGCCTGCGCAGGCCAGGGTAGCCTTTGCACCCCTTCATCCACAGACCCGGATTGGGGTGCATAAAGGGCCGAAGGGGCCCCCCACAAGTGCAGCTGGCAGAGGTCGCATGACCCACGGGAGGGGCAGGTGCTGGGCCACATGGAGGGGCTGCTGGGCCCGGGCCCAGTGGAGTCCGCTTGTGGGGAGAAGGGACGCAGAGGCTGTGTCTCATGTGTGGGTGCGCAGCCACGCGGGGGCTGCCAGGACGGGGTGGGCGCTGGCACTCCGCCGCCCACGGCTGCTCCTGCTTGCCACCGCCTTGGGAAGGCGGCACAGCCCCACCGCCCAGACAGCCCTGCCTCCTGGCGCTCGTGCCCACTCCGCAAACCAGCACCGAGCTCTGGGCCTGTCTCTGGGCACACAGACCTCGAGTGAGCCTTCAACAGCCCAGGCCCCCAGGGCCGGCCCAGCCCAGCCGCGCCCTCCAACGCCCTGGGGCCTCCGTCCTCAAGCTCTTGCAGCCCACCCCTCTCAGGAACTCCCGATTTAATGTGAAGAAGACAAAAGCAGGCCAGGGCTTGACAGGCTCTGGACCCATCTGGGGTGTCTGAACAGCTGCATGGCGAGGCCGGGGCCCCATCTTCCGCTGGCTTAGGAAGCAGGGGTCACCAGGCCTGGCAGCAGGTGCATGTGTCCTCAGGGTACAGCCCCAGCGTGACCCCAAGTGGGAATGACTGGAGACAGCCCCCGTGACCCCTGGCCGTGCTGGTCCAGGGGTCACCTGGAGCTCCCTCTCGGCAGAGCGCCTGCTCCCATGGTCTGGGACACCCAGGGGAGGGGAGGTCGAAAGTCTGACAACTTACCTAAGGCCCAACCCCCAGGGACCCTAAGTTCTCTGGGACATCGGGAGCCCCCGGCTGGGAAGTGGACACACAGTCCGAGCTGGGGGGATGGCGTGCACAGGGAAGGGGTGTCCTGAGGATGGCTAAGGTTTCCCAAAAGGCCCCATAAGGGCTCCTTGTCTCTTTTCCGGGAGGCGGGGACCGGAGACGGGGGCCCTCCGCGCATCCCAGGGGAGGCCCCAGTTGGCCCTGTGACTTCACTGCGGGGACTCCCTGTCCCTGGGACACCCGCAGGGAGACACCAGTCTCCACAGGTGATGCCGAGGACACCCAGAGGGGCTTAAGGCCGCGCCTGCTGCCGACCGCACTGGGCTAATGGCTGCCTACAGGCCGCCGCCGGTGTCTCTGCCCATCATCCGTGCGTCAAGACTGCAGCGAACATGCTCGCGCGTGCAGTGCGTCTGGAGAGGGCGAGCCCTCACCTGTCACACTCCAGCTACTCCAGGAGCCTCTCCTCCCCGGGAGCTGCCTGCCATCTGGACAGTCGGGCGGCCAGCTGACGCCCTGAGCCTCACTGTTCCCCTCTGGAACCTGGGGACGCATCAGGAAGCAGGCTGGGGACACACACGCCCAGCAAGAGGATGCCCACACGGATCCCTGCCCGCGGAGGGGCCCTGTGACAGGGAAGGGGACAAGCCTGTGCCACGATGCCCGACACTGTGCCCGGCAGGGCGCCAGGCTCATCGCCGCCCGCCCCCATCCCCCCTCACTACACCCCCTCCCCACAGGACGACAGCTGGCTCTGGGAGGCCGACGCTTCCAGATGCTTCCAGAAGCTGTGGCCCCAGGAGATGCTCGTCTGCCCTTCGGCGAGGAGGGGCTGAGAACAAGCGCCTCCCTGCTGAGCACGGCGTGTGCACAGCACCCTCTGGTGGCAGCCAGGGGAAGGGCTGGGCCCAGCGTGGTCTGGAGAACCTCACTGGTTCTCAGAACCCAGCAGTGGTGGGCAGTGGCGGCCAGGGCTGTGCCCGGGCGGGGGCAGCGTGTAAAGAGGCTGCCCAGGCTTTGTGCAGGCCCCTCTGAAGGCAGCCGACAGGCTCTGAGGACGCCAGTGGCAGCCACCCCCCCAGAGAACCAGAGCTGCTGGCGGGCCCAG